GGGGTGGGCCTAAACCATGTAGGACTGGTGTCCTGGTAAGAACAGAGACACAAGAAGGCCCATGACAGGGGCGCCTGGGTGGCTCAGTTGTTAAACATCTGCCTTCAGCTCAGGTCATGATCCCGGGGTCCTGGGATCCAGCCCCCCATCGGGTTCCCTGCTCGGCGGGAGGCCTGCTTCTCCCTCTCCCGCTCCCCCTGCTTGTGTTCCCTCTCTCGCTGTCTCTGTCAAATAAATAAAATCTTAAAAAAAATACACACCTAAAAAGAAGGCCCATGACAACGGAGGCGGAGACAGAGCGATGCGTCCACAAGCCCAGGGACGCCCAGGATCGCGGCTCCACCAGCCGCTGGAGAAAGGCCTGGGATGGTGTCCCCCAGAGCCTCCAGAAGGAGCCAGCCCCGCCCACAGCTGGAGCTTGGGCTTCCGGGCTCCAGGGCAGGGAGAACATGAGTCTCTGTTGCTTGAAGCTGCCGGTTTGTGGCACTTTGTGACAGCAGCCCTGGGACATTCAATTGGCATTTGATTCTGTGTTTCTTGCATTCCTGAAATACTTGCTCTATATAATTTTCAAAATAGATTCAGATTGCTAACATTTTTTTAAAAGATTTTATTTATTTATTTATTTGTGAGAGAGCGCGCATGAGTGTGAGGGAGGGGCAGAGAAGGGGGGAGAGTGCCCGCGCGCACATGTTGGGGAGGGGCAGAGGGAGACGGAGAAGCAGACTCCCCACTGCCCGATGCGGGGCTCGATCCCAGGACCCTGGGACCATGACCTGAGCCGAAGGCAGACGCTTAACGACTGAGCCACCCAGGCGCCCCATATTTTCTGATTTTAATTATGGTTTCTTCTTTGATTTATTTGTAACTTAGAAATGTCTTAATTTCCAAAACTATAGGTTATTTTTCATTCCTGTTCTTCATTGCCAACTTAATTTCATTTTGGTCAGAAAGCATGGGGGGGAGTTGGTTTTTGTTGTTATTGTTTAAATCCTGAATTTTTTAAATGATTTTATGACTATTAAAAAAATAATTTCTTTTCCCTGTTTGTTAGGTCTAAGGTTCTCTGTGTGTTCGTTAGATCAAATCTGTTGTATCAGTCAAGTTTCTTACTGATTTTTTGTCTGCTTGATGTATCACTTCTGAAGAGGTAGAGTCTCCTCCTATATTGGTGGAATGTGTCTGTTTCTCCTTTTAATCTGTCCGTCACTGCTTCCTCTGGGTTGAAACTGTGGGTTGGTTGCATGTGAATTTAGAGCTGTTATGTTTTCCTTGAGAATTACTGCTTTTGTCATCGTGTAGTCGTCCTGTTTATCCCCGCATTTTTGTCTTGAAGTCGGCTTGTTTGATATTCATGTAGTAATGCTATTTCTCTTTGGTTGGTATTGGCCTCTTAACGTCTTTCCCCAAATTACAGTCCTTTCCTTATATTTTGAGTGCGTTTCTTTCTTTTTTTAAAGATTTTATTTATTTGTGAGCGAGAGAGAGCCAGTGCTCGCACAAGCAGGAGGAGTGGCAGGCAGAGGGAGAAGCAGGCTCCTGAGCAAGGAGCCCGATGCAGGACTCGATCCCAGCACCCTGGGATCATGACCTGAGCTTAGGGCAGCCGCCTAACTGACTGAGCCACCCAGGCGTCCTGGGTGTGTTTCTTATAAATAATGTATAGCTGTTGGGTTTACTTGTTGCCAATTCTGAACATCTGTCTTTGGTTTGGCAGGATGATTGCCATTCTGTTTCCTTAGACCACTGACACAGCAAAGGGTTTAGTTTATCATCTTTGTGTCCTTTGAGGTACATGCTCTTCACTGCCACCCTCTCCTTTGGTTGTCTCCACACCGCTCCCCTCCATGCACCTGGCATGTGTCTTGAGGTTCACATGTGCTCTCATGATGCATGGGCCCTAGGCTGGGTGCCTTCTTCGGGGGTTGCTGCTCTTCCAACTGTGGGATGGCCCTACAGCTCCAAGCTGGGCGCTGCACCTGCCCCGGGAGGGGTGGTCCTGGGGTCTGTGCTGCGTGGCTGCCGG